TCTTCCACTTTGGAACTTCTCCTCTATTTGGCATATCAATCAAATGGGTAACTTCATCAGGATTTATCCTCAGATCTTTTCCTCCCATTCTGAAATCTATTTTATCATGTATCCAACATTACAATATTTGAAGTGTGACCTCATTGTCTTGAGGATAAGGTGAAAGTGCAAAGAACTGATCAACATTCAAGGTTTTGAGCTCATTACTCATCTCGTCAGATACAACAGGCCTGACCTTATCAAGCGCATCTCTAACTACAGATGATCGGCATCTAAAACTCATGGACCTTGGGTTCGCAAACCTACATCAAACAGAATAATACAAAAAATATAAGGGGTTATGTAGAAATATTTAATTTCGGGAATACTATGATAATATTTAAGCAATAATATGTGATCTCGTATAGTATTATTTAGGTTATATTATAGTATTACTTACGTTGTATTATGACATTGTAGTATTTATATTATATTCTGGTTGTATTTTCGTTGTATTTTTTGGTACTAAACTAGTGTTATTTTGTATTCAGGTTTAGGTTATATTTAGGTTATATTATAGAAGTTTTTCTATTGTATTCATATATTAATATTATCAAGGTTATATTCTGGTAGTTTTTCCAATGTATTCTGCTATTATTATAGTATTATTTCTATAATACTTAGGTAATATTTAATATATTGTTAAGTAGTGATTGGTTTGGTATTATAATTAAATAACAGGTTTTATTGTGGTTTAATGTTAGTTTTTTTAAGGCAATATTGTGTGCACTTGTGTACAACTCAAAAACAGTAAAATACAACACATATATTACTCTGACTGATTTGTTACTCAAGTACAACTAAAATATTACGCAAATGGTCTTCTCAATGAAAATAGAACCACCAAAATAAAAATTACCTAGATGAACCCTCTTGGATTTCCTTCTTCTTTCGCTCTTTCGCTTCCTTTTTCTTGCGTTTCTGGGTCTCCATTATCGATTCCTCTTCGGTTTCTATTCTCAATGTATTCTCAAGGACTCTTCCATCTCCGTTTTCACTGGGCTCTCTCCAGTTTCCAACAGTAACTCTAAAACCCTAAGTTTTTCTGATTCAAAAACCCTAAAAGATGGAATGAAGATCGAATGAAGGTGCTCCGTACTCTTCTCGCTCGGGCGACGTTTGGTTTTCCGATCAGGCGCGCTGTTTAACTTTTTCATGTTTCGGGCCAGATTAGGGCCGGGTCGCGCCGTAAGAATGTCTTAATTTAATTTTTTAAGTTGTGGGGGTCGCAGTTTTGCGTGTCATCTTTCCATTGGACACGCAGGTGTCCGCACAGAATAAGAGTTCCACTAAAAGAGTGGAAAAATTATAACGTTAGCATACTATACTCTATCCTCTATAATTATAGAGATCATTTTATGATTAAGAGATAACCAAAAAGGGCGTGAAAGGTCAACACGATTAATAAGACTTATTATTGTCCACTCATCTCTATCTCCCCCTGACTTACACTTTATTCATTGGGGCATTCATGAAAAAGTAAAAAATTAACATCTTTAAAGGCATGGTGAGTGTGGATTATGCCATAGAAAAGAAGAGGAGCAGCCCACAAAGAAGAAAGAAAGGCACCAACAACATAGAGTGAACCAGAGAGTTTGCAAACCAATAGATCTTGGGTTTGAAGGATCAAATGCTGGATTCCATCCGAGATGCACTCACTGAAGGAAGAGAGCAGCGCCATAGAGGGAAAAGTTCGACGCCAATGGTTGAAGAGGCCCCCAAGTCTTGGGAAGAAAAGGCAAATCTTTGTTCTTTGATAGTGTTGGGTCTGCACCAATTAACCAAAATCGATTCAAGCATACTAAGCCACCCTGATATCTTGAGAATGTATTTTTTTGGTAAATCTCTTAGGTTGAGCCCATAGAAATGTTCAAATCCTGGCACTAGAGTTCTACATGGGTGAAACCGATCTGACTGACCACATAGTGTCATTTAACTTTACTGTGTGTATGCTGAGTATTATCGAGGTGTTGAAATGTAATCTCTTCTTTACTATGCTAAGGAAGTCAAGCCTTATGGGGTTAATTGCAACAACACCAAGATTGATCACTTCGTTTATTGACTTCTACTGTATTTTGTGGCACATTTTTCTAATATCCAAAAGCCTCTAAATAATTCACATCCTGAAACCCTTTTCCCCATTGAGAGACCTATGTAAATTCCTCCTTATCGTAGATTATTATTCTAAGTGGATTAAAGCTAAGACACTTGCTCGAATCAGTGTAAAAAGTCATTCAAAACTTTATCTGAATGGTAAAGATATGTCGATAAGGGCTACGACTTGTAATTGTCATAGACACTGGAGCACAATTTGCTGACTAGGGGATGAAAGATTTTTTTTAAGGCCTAGAGATCAGTCTGAAGTTTAAATCTATGCATCATCCTCTAATCGATGGGCAGGCTGAAGCATAAAACAAGATCAATCTAAATCTGTTGTGGAAGAAGATTGAAGGAGCCAAGGGAGATTTTTCTTCAAAATTGACATCTGTCTAATTTCATCAAGCTTATAGATTATTTTATTCAACAAATTGTTATTAATATTACCATTTTTAGGATATTGTAGGCCTTATTCTCTCCCATATAATGCTTGTTTAGATAACTCTAAGTGTAATTTTAAAATACCCATGAATTGGGGCAAGCGTAAAAAGAGGCATTTGAATCTACTATCCAAGATGCATTATTCATTAGTGATAAGACCAATGAGTCATTTTGGATTTTACTAGTGGAGACATTAACAGAGAGAATCATTTCATGTCCTCCTCCACCAACATTCATTACTGTCTTTGAAATACAATTTTTTTTCACACTTTTAATATTCTCCTCTAACATTTGTTTTGCCTGAATCATTTTTTTAGATTTCTTCCTCTATTTTCTACATTTAATGCAGAACCTAAAGATTCATCATTGGCTGACTTCCTGAGAACCTCTTCATTTAGCACCAAGCCTACGATGCCTTTTGAGTTCAACTTTTTATTCTCATAAGAGTTACTCACCGTCATAACTAAATCATCATAATTATCTGATAATGAAGACAATATCAATAGTTCTTTGTCCTCATCATCAAACTTGATCCTTACAGAACACTGGCTTGTTACAATGTTGAAATTGTACAGATATTCTGTCACAAAACTTCCTTACACCATCTTCATGTTGAATGTCCTTTTCATCCGAAAAACCCTACTCCAATCAAAAGAATTTTCTTACATCTTTCTTAGTGCCAACATGAGATCCACCATAATTTTCTCATTCACTATATTGAATGTAGCATATGAGGAAAGTGATAAACGAATCAAAACTTAGGCTTTTGATACGACTCTTTTTATTCCTCTGGAGTCATAGACCCAGGCTTCTTGGTGAGTCCTTGTATTGGCAAATATAATTATTTTCTTATATAAAAAAGCATCCACTTGAATATTATAGAATGCTAAGTTTGACCCATTAAATTTCTCCACTTTGTCTCTTGCTTCATCACTCATTTCTCCCGCTCAAATCAAACACTTATCTCGGATACCACTTTTTTTGGTATGATTAATGGTAATATTCTGTTCGTTCTATTATAACTTTGATCCAAATAGAAATCAAAACTACACCGTGAAATAGGGTCACAATATCTCAAGAAATGAGGAACAAAAAGTTCGAACGAAAGCACATTAAAATATTTATAGAAAAAAGCACTTGAATATTTACTGCGAAAAAAACTCGAAAACAGGAAAAAAATCACAGAGCCACACCACTAAGAAAATTCTACTATGACATTCAGTATAGTATAGAGAACTCAATCATATGTCCTTTCTATAAGCAATAGAACATAAAAGACTTCACTTCAAATCCTTCCTATCGATTCTACAAAAGAAACACATGTCGAAACTCTCCTCTTTGACCTTTCTTCATATCATTAAAACCTTGTCCGAGAATTACACACGTAGAGATAAATTCCATCATCGCCCAAAATCACAAATATAAGAAAATTGAATTGAGGAATTCTAACTGGCGCACCTACACCACCCCTTGGCACAATTATGTGCTATGTAACCAGTTACCTAGATGTTCCAAGTAGGACACAGCGCTACTGCAGACACGGTAGTGAGCGCGCCGCACCCTTAGTCTCCAGGTGCGGGTGCGCCACCCAGTCACGGGTATGCTGCCCTGGAAACCTCGAGTTCCTTTCAATGAAATCTCCCATTGCCGTGTGATCTTGGCTATTGTGGGTGCTTCAAGCTCCACACAACTACAAAACCATTAAATTCACGTATTTGTACCTATATCAAATTCGTAACTATGAAATTGCTTAAAATTTAACATAATAATAATAATAATAATAACAATAATATTAGTAGTAATAATAATATATTATTGGAAATTTGACATAAGAAAGAAAATAATCTGTTGGCATGCTGTGAAATTTGATAATTGAGTGAGAATTTAAAATTTAGGGATGGAAGAATATTAGTTTTAGATATCGTCAATATTTGAGGGTGATGTATGTAAAATGCTTTGATTTTATTACAGTAATTTTGAAAAACTTTTTTTAATGATATTCTTGTTTATTAGGATATAATTTATAGTTAGCTATTGAATTTAAACGAAAAAACCCATTTTTTTTTATCATTGATGACTTGTACAACATGTTTTGCTTACCAATTTGAACGATTTTAACTCACATTAAATTTTAATTTAACTTATGGAATGAATTTTCATTAAGATATACAGTCATATTCTGTCTTAGGATGTGTTTGCTTCTTTACATGCCCTTGATTTTATGTCCTACCATCAGTACAACTAACCAATTTGACAGCATAACTAAATTTCATTAAATTCAGGAATAATATATGTTACATAAAGTGTGCTTCTATTCGCTGGCAATTATTTTACTTCCATGTACTTCTCCTTTTCTCATCCAACAAATCAATTTAAACAAGAAGCCTTGATGCTGAAAAAAACGGAATTCCTTTGTACAGCAGGAGTGCTTCGATGATAGCATAATCCAAAAAACGGATCCTCCCTCCCTTCGAAGGTTTCCATTAAGAAACGACTGCTCGAGCAGCAGCCATAAGGCTTTCCAATATTACTCTGGCGAGAAATGCCGGTGCTGCTCTACCGCATCACAATGCACTCTACGCCTCCTCAGCTCTTCCGTTACGGCGCCAGCGACTCCGGCGAAGCTTGGACCTGAAGCTTTCTCTCGGAAACATGGCTCCCCAAATTATATGTCAAACACACAGTCGTTTGTTGGCAAGCTGAGATCGCAGAGTGCCCCACGTCAGCGAGCCGAGGTGGTGGCGAGGACTGCCATGAATGACATTTTGGAGGCGGGGATTGTTCCCGTGAGAAGGTCTTGCTCGCAGATTCCGGATGCCGTAAGGTTTAGAAGTGCGGTGGTGAAGAAGCTTGTGGAGAGGTCCAGGGAGATCTAAGTGGTGAAGCGTGATGGGCCATGGCTTCGGGTTGTTTTATTTTTCGTTGTAGTTTCTTGAGTACTTAGTGAGCTTATGTGGGACCTGTATAGATTTTGCTTTCGTTGTTCTATGCTGTTTATATAAAATAAAATTATAATTATTCTAAATTAAATAGATAATTTGATTAATAGATATAGTATGCATGATATTACAAATATGCTTGTGTACATGTATAGTCATACTTCTTATGGCGTTTTTTTACATACATCAAACTATGAAATCACTGCTAAAAAGTATGGATTAAAGCAGCTTTTTTTAGAAGGGCGAAGTATGAGAAAAAGAGCTTAAATTTTGCAAGAGAAGAGGGAGATTTTTATTACTAAAAGAAGGTTTGAGTATTTTTTGGCTTGTTTGATAATATCATGGTAATGTCTATTTATAGGCATGAGAAATTAAATCTTGAAACTTCTAAGCTCTTATATTTCTTTCTAATTTAAAAATATAGTGTATTGATCTCATTTAGTAGAAATATCATAGAATTTTCTACTTAAGGCTAGATAAAATATCCTAGAATATTAGGAGCAAACATCAATCATATCACTCATCAATGTGAATTTCAATTGCTTCAATCATATTGCGTAACAATTCAATTTTTTTTCTCTTGGAAGTGCCTTTGTGAATATATCTGCTAATTGTTCTTTTCACAAACAGTGCTTGCGTTTAATTTCTTGATTGGTTGTATCCATTCTAATCAAATGATGCTTGATACCAGTATCTTTAATTCTACCATGTAATATTGTCGACACGATTTTGGGTTGTGGAGTTGCCCGTAAGAAGTTGTCGGTCACTAAAATTGAAATCCCGTCGCCCGCTCTGGAAGGATGTTTTAATTTACATATATATAGTTTAGAAAAATATAAAATCAAACTGACCCCATATTTTTCATAGTTTAAATGAAAGAGCGATGTACCTCAAATCCTGTATCTATCCCGAAGAATAAACACAAGACTTGAGGATGAGGCTCGATCAAATAAACTAAGAAATATATGACATCCGTTTGGTCTGTGAAACCGCTTTATTTGTCGACAAATTTCCTTATTTAATATGAAGAATTAAATAAAGTTTATATTAAGCTGGGTTCGGACAAGCTTCCTATAAGGGCAAGCCCCTATAGTTAATTACATCTTAAATGACTGAAATCACCTAAGAAGACTCTCGATAAAAATCAGGAAATATTATCTTCAAGGAGTTCAAAAGGATAGGACTTTTCAATGAAATCAGACAAAGAGGTGTAAAAGGGGATTGATTCAAATTTGGAACATTTTATTGTAGAGTCCAAAGAAGGAAGAACTAGGGGATGTCATGGATCCAGAGGAGAACCTCGGTGACTTCCCAAGCTATCCTAATGTTTGGCTTCAGTTTTTTAGTGGAAATATTTAGGTGTTTCATCCTGCCAATTTTATTTGTTAGGGCTTACATTGGTGTGAAACAATCACACAAATAGTTTGAAAGATGTGAGAATTTAGGTCGTAACGAACGGCAACCTCAGAATCCTAAGACGAGTTAGGGCTTATATTGTATAGCAGGGCTATACAAAGGCCTAAATATAAGGTGAGGATTTACGTTGTATAAACAAGCAACCTCGAAGTCCTATGACTTTGTTGTTTAACTCTAAGGAAGGAAGATTGGTTTAGTTGGGGAAGACATGTTCTGTTGTTGAAGATGGTCGTGATGCCCACCATGTTTGCTCCAAGCTCCTTGTCGTAGCTAGTTTAAGTTTTCTAGTGTGTCAAGTTATAATGTCAAATCAGATGACCCTATGGTTGTATTTTCTTAAATTTTATGGGAGATGTTAAAGTTGATTAGAGTGACACCGATTAGGATCCTACGATTCCCTCGCTCCGACACCACTATTTTCTATTGGATTCACTTAGTCTAAATGAATTTACTAAACTCAACTTAGAAAACGCTCGTTAGCAACCGTAGGTTACCTCCTTCGAGGGATTCCCGATCATCCGATAGAGACGTCTTAATTTAGTTAAAGTTGTAGTTTTTGTGATGTTTGTGATTGTGATGTTTGTTATTTTAATGATGTTTGTGATTAAATTTTGAGTTGTTTTATATTTTGAATTTTGTGGAGGTAATTTTTTATCTTGGTTGATTTTAATTTGATTTTTGGTTTTGGGTTTTGGTTTTGTGGTTATCCTAGTAGTTTTAGTTTTCATGCAGGGTGACATTGTTGTTTAGCATGCAAGTTTGTGTTAATATCAAAAGTATATTATGAAAGTAAAAGAAAGACGACACTGTAAACTATAAAAAACATACTTGACGAGTCTTCTCGTTCCACCACCTAAACTCAAAATGCATGTTAGGGAATTATGAAACAACAAAGTAACGTTTTGGCGACCTACCTAACCCTAGCTCATATATTGGTGGGTCCTTATTAATTTGATTAAGGATGATTTTTGTTAAGCAAACATATTAAGTTTAGAAGACCTCTGAGGTATCCAACAAATCTAGAGAAAGAAGCAGGTCTGTGCTACTCCCTCAACCCCTGGTGAAAAGTCTCGAACTCTTTTAAACTTATTATGTTACTTAATAACCCATCCTGTAAATAGCTTTAATGCACAGTGAACATTGATGTTTCAATTATCCCTAAGAATATGGTAATTATCACTTGTAATTCAATTTGAGAATTATGTGGGTGAAGACCCTTAATGGGGTAAGTTAGTGTTATTAAGGCACTTAGATTAAGGGACTTAGCCAACCTTTTGATTCGGGCTTGTAGTGTTTTAAAGGTGTTCAATTTTCAATTATGTTAACTTTTCTAATCCTCATTTAAACAAAATTTAATTTAGCCTAGGTCACTACTAAGCCCTTTAGACTTTAGTGAATGTCTTAGTCATTTTTTAAGGAGATTGAATTCTCAGTTATGAAAATTTATTTTTGAAAGTCATTTGAACATCTCTTATGTGATGAAACTGTTCTAGAGTTATGATATTTTGTAGAAAACAATAGGAAATTGATTTTTCTATTTATGGTAAAAATGAGTTGAATATTTGAGAAGCTAAGATTCTTAGAATTATACTTAATGAAAAATGAGTCTGTATTGAAACCATTTCAAACTAATACTTACACTTTTAGAAAGTGAGGGAAAGTTTTGATTTCTGAATTTTAGAAAGAGGATAGTGAAATTCAAAACTATTAAAGGCCTATCCAAATATAGTAACCCTCACATTAAAAAAAGAGAAAAAATAAGAAAAGAAGGGGAATTGAAAAAGATCTTGAAAGAAAATAAAAGAAGGATAAAAAGGAAAAAAAAGAAAAAAAAAAGAGAAATAAAAAGTGAGGAGAAGCTTGTGGAGAAGCCTAATAAAAAATTGGTTTTACTTATATTTTTTTAAATGAAAAAACTTGTCGTAGCTAGTTTAAGTTTTCTAGTGTGTCAAGTTATAATGTCAAATCAGATGACCCTATGGTTGTATTTTCTTAAATTTTATGGGAGATGTTAAAGTTGATATTCTTTGAATCTTTAGTTTGACAAGTTTCAATAATTGTTGAAGTAAATAGAAAATCAGGATTCCTAAATTGAGTATGAGATATTCTTACACTCTAGTCCTAGGTTGATTTTCAAGAATTTCTCCTAAGTTACACAATAACATTTCTAAGACAAAATCATAGGAAGCTCTACTAAAACCCACTATCTCAAAGAAAAAATTTAGTTTTTAAAGTTATAGTGTTACTTGAGGACAAGTAACGTTTATGTTTGGGAGAATTTGACATGCCTAAAAATTATCTATTTTTGTATATACATTTTAGGCATATTTTTATTGATATTTCACATTAGAGAAGGTAATTTGCTTTTTTTCAGTTTCAGGTACAAGAAATGGAGTTTGGAGAAAATGTAGGAAAAATGGTGTAATTTAGAGTCAAAACTAGCAAGGAATGAAATTCTAACCTTGCATATTTCGATAAGTCTTTCTATGCTTAATCTTCTTTACATTTATCACATTCTTTTTTAATAAAATCACACTTTTAATAAAGGTTACTTTCATGCTTATTTTGCAGGTTTAACAATTAGAAATCCAAGCTTAAAAATTGTGAAGTTGCCTGCAGGGTGGGGCTTAGGCACCCAAACTCGCTCCTAGGCACCATATGTCAGAGAATACGACGCCTAGGCACCCAAAATTGGCGCCTAGGTGATAGAAGTGGTTAAGGGGCCAATTTTTTTACGATTTTGGGCTATTCTAGGATGTTCTGAAAGATTCTAAACAACTTGCATGCCCCATGGAATAATTCAATGAATCGAGACATTTGGAAAAGATTTTGGATGAAGTGGTGTTTCTCGTGAAGTGAAGTGGTGCGTCTCTTAGAGTGAAGAGGTGTGTTTCTTATAATGAAGAGGGTTTTTATGTCTCTTTAAAAAGAGGGGCTTGTTACTTCTGATTAGGAGTCTAGGAGGGGATTTTAGGAGAGATTTGGAGGGGAGCTTGCTGTGCCTCTTCAAGGTGGCATGTATGTGTGTGTGTATGTAAAAGGAGATGTCTCTTGTGGAGTCTTGGTGGCTTTTGGAATGTTGAAAGAAGTGTAAGGTTTCTATTTGCTTTGCAAGGAGGGCACGAATCTTTCGTAAAGATAAGTCTTGGACTCTATTTTGTATTTTCTTTGAATTACTGCAATAAAGTTGTGTTTTTTTCAATGACATTTGCTATGAAGAATCCATGTGTTTTCCCCATACTTAGTGAGTAGTTTTTCGTTACTCTTTTTTCTTGTGACGAGAATTAATTATGTGTAGGATCAAAATGGTTTGAAGATTTCTTTTATTTCAAAATTGTGATGGTATTCACTTGGACTTCATTTACATTGCAATTTAGCTCATAATTTATCTCTATGCAGTCAAAAAATAGAGCATTTTTTCTGACGTCTATCTAGGCCGTCAGTTATTCCATCGATTTTTGTGTTCTTTCTTGTTAATTATTTCTTAATTAATATGAAACTAATTATATGTTTTTTTCATATTTTCTCTCGCTATACATGCCATTCATTCTATTTGGGATACTATTAAGAGCAAGTACAATGCTCCGTACCTACCATGA